ATCTATCTATCTATCTATCTATCTATCTATCTATCTATCTATCTATCTATCTATCTATCCATCATCTATCTATCTATCCATCATCTATCTATCTATCTATCTATCTACCTATCTATCTATCTATCTATCATCTATCAACTATCATCTATCTAAATATATAGTTGGTCCTCGTGATCCCATTTGTTAAGTGAATCTGACACGGTTATTAAGTGAATCCAGCTTCCCGGTAAACTTTGCTTTTCACACAAAATTTTAGGAGAATCAAAGAGAATGTTGACCATTTTCAAGGATAGGACTGTGGGCCACTTACTATAGGGAGTCCTTGACTTAAAACAGTTTGTTTAGTGACCGTTCAAAGCACTGAAAAAAGTCACGATCGTATTTCACGCTTACGACAACAAATATTGACAAAAACAAACATAAAACATAAAATAAAATCATCTTTCCATTGTACAGTATGTTGGCTGGTGCATATCTCTTATGCACAATATCAACAGTCTTTCCCTTCTAAATTTAGATTAAAATTCATATTGTATAGATCAACCATGCATACTATATTATTATTATTACTAACTCCTTATTAGACAATAATTATGAATTCACGTCAACTTTTTCGAGCAAATCTCAACTTTTACAAAAGCTAGTTCATAATATCCTTCACGTCATTATAATCAGTTATAATATATCATTACATTGTTTTATCTTTACTATTATGTTATATTTATATTATAATATATCTTATTTCTCTATTTTCTTATCTAGCCATTGATAAAATAAATCCCATATTTTATAATATTCTTTATCTTCTTGCTCTCTAATTTCTAATTACTCACTTAACAACGGTGGCAAGAAAGGTCGTAAAATGGAGCAAAACTCCACTTAACCAATGTTTCGCTTAGCGACAGAAATGATGAGCTCAAATGTGGCGGTAAATTGAAGACTACCTGTATTTCTAATCTGGAGTAGATTTGCAAGCTAGTTGTGGACTACAATTCCCATCACCTCTCTTTGGCAACTCATTAGCTATGCAAGGGGGGGTGGGAACAATGAATTGATCTTCCCTCTATTTGCATTCTATTTGCATCTATTTGCATATCTATTTGCAACCTGGCAGCTGGCAGGTTGAATTTCCACAGGTCAAGCGTTCCAGGATTCTTCCCCGAAACTCAGAAGCTATACCAGTGGAACTTCTGTCTGGAACAACCGTAGATTCCTGCATTGAGCCTAGGACGGATCAAGTGAAGTACTTCTCCATCTTAGCATGTTTAAGATGTATGGACTTCAATTCCCAGAATTCCCCAGCCAGCTAGGGGAATTCTGGGAGTTGAAGTCCATACACCTTAATATTGCTAAAATGGGGAACTGTTCTAAATTGCCTTTAGAATGTCTCTAAATCTATGGATTCGGGATGAAACGATTTTAGGGCTTGACAGAGCTGTAGAAAAATGCCAATTCCTTTGTTTTGGGGCAATTGAACCACATTTTTTTTTAAAAAAAATCTTACTTTTTTCTAATAGCTGTTTTTTTTCCTAATTTTCCTTTTCTGCATCTCGCAGGCAGCCTTCATTTACCAGATCCAAATGCGGTATTTGCAAAATCAGGTAAGGCATTGCTTTCCGACGTTCCTTAGCAATTTGCGCCTCTTTGCAAGGGGGCAAGAATTAAGGGATGGTTCATAGAATACAGAATAACAGAGTTGGAAGGAACCCCGGAGGTCCTCTAGTCCAACCCCCTGCTCAGGCAGCAAACCATATCCCATTTTAGACAAATGGTTGTCCAATCTCTTCTTAAAAACCTCCAGTGTTGGGCTGGAAAGGCTGGATCCAAACGAAGCACCTTGGAGTTATTGGAGTTATTAGAAACTTCAGTAACTAATTAGAGAGAGAGAGAGAGAGAGAGAGAAGGGGTGGGCGGGCAGGCAGGCAGGCAGGCAGGCAGGCAGGCAGGCAGAAAGATAGATAGATAGATAGATAGATAGATAGATAGATAGATAGATAGATAGATAGATAGATAGATAGATAATAGATAGATAGATAGATAGATAGATAGATAGATAGATAGATAGATAGATAGACAGATAGATAGAGGGGCAGGTATAGAGAGATAGATAGGCAAGCAGGGATAGATAAGAGATAGATAGATAGATAGATAGATAGATAGATAGATAGATAGATAGATATAGATAGATAGATAGATAGATAGATAGATAGATAGATAGATAGATAGATAGATAGATATAGATAAATAGATAGGTAGATAGATGATAGACAGATAGATAGATAGATAGAAGATACGATAGAGAAAGAGAGATGACAGATAGATAATAGATAGATATAGATAGATGGATAGATAGATAGATAGATAGATAGATAGATAGATGATACGATAGATAGCTAGATAGATATAGATAAATAGATAGGTAGATAGGTAGATAGCTAGCTAGATGATACGATAGATAGATAGATAGATAGATAGATAGATAGATAGATAGATAGATAGATGATACGATAGATAGATAGATAGATAGATAGATAGATAGATAGATAGATAGATAGATATAGATAGAGAGAGAGATAAAGAGAGAGAGAGAGAGAGAGAGAGAGTAGAAACAGGTGGTCCATATTTCTATGGATCTGCCAGCAAGGACTCCAGCAGACTTAGATTTTCAGGTGACTCTACTCCTTCTTCACCAGCAGGATAGGATCTCATTAGGATCCAATGTAGGATCCAAAATCACCTATTATACACAGATAGTCCTTGACTTACAACCATTCATTTAATGACTGTTCGAAGTTACAACAGCACTGAAAAAAAGTGATTTATGACCAGTGGTGGGATTCAAATTTTTTTTACTACTAGTTGTGTAAGCATGGCTTACAGAATAGGATTTTGGTGGATTGGGTGAGACCTTAATTAGGGCTTATATTGGGCACACGTGTAAAAAAAATCAAGCTAGGGCTTACTTTTGGGGTAGGTCATATTTTTGGGGAAACGGTATTTTTTTAAAAAAAGAAATAAAATAATATATTTCCTTGCAGAAAATCATCTGGCCAGAGGTTTTTTGTGGCATCGCTGCAAATATTATCAACGTCCTGGGGAATTATATTTTCCTTTACCAATTCAACATGGGCGTTAGGTAAGTACAGGAGGCTGTTGGGGACAAAAATATCCATTTTCACTGCATGACAATTTGTTCTTCCCATCCTTGGATCTGAGGTTGTGTTTACCAAGTTGTTGTTGTTGTTATTATTATTATATATTATTAACATCATCCTAATCATTACCATTATTATTATGGAAAAACTGGACATCAGTTAGGGGTTTGAGCAAAAAGATGGTTAATAAATCCATAGATTAAGTGAAAGGGAATTCATCAAACTACAAAATTTGAAAAAAAAAATCAACTACAGGTAGTCCTCGATTTACACCATTTCATTTAGTGACCGTTCAAAGTTACAACAGCACTAAAAAATGTGGCTTAGCCCCGTTTTTCACACTTATGACCGTTGCAGCATCCCCACGGTCCTACCCTATGATCAAAGTTTGGACGCTTGGCAACTGACTCACATTTATGACGGTTGCAATGTCCTGGGGTTCCATGAGCCCCTTTTGACAAAGCAAGGTCAACGGGGAAGACAGATTCACTTAATAACCGTATTACTAACTTAACAACTGCCATGATTCGCTTAACAACCGGGGTGAGAAAGGTCGTAAATTAGGACAAAAAACTGTCTCACTCACTTAGCAACAGAAATTTTGGGCTGAATTGTGGTCCTAAGTTTGTATATTGTAAAACATAATTTAAATATTGCAAGAAATAACAATTTAAAGGAGTAACGGATCCTCTATAGATAGTCCTTGACTTCAATTGGAACTGGATGCGGTCATTAAGTTTACAATCTTGCAACTTTTTCTGCCACAGTTGTTATGTGGAGCATGTGGTCCTTAAGTGAATTGGATGGTCATTAAGCAATTCCCTGGTTCTCCCATGTCCTCTGCTTGTCGGAAGGGCCCCTGGGAAAGTCACAAAATGGTCATCCCAGGTCCCTGGGATGCGACAGCTGTCATAAACCCAGTGTTGGGATTCCGGCAGTCGCCCCCATTTAAACCATGAGTCTCGAGCCAAACTTCCAAAATTTCAAAAGGATTTATTGGGAGTTAAACTGTCCGGCACTGCTTGGGTGCAGCCGACTCTGAGACACATTATTCATTGTCACCCTTGACCCTGGTTTTCCCCCACCCCTCTGGGTGTATCCTAATTCATATTCTCCAATGGGACACCTCCATAGCCCAGAGTTACCAGTCATGCTCTCCAGTTAGAATCTTGCCTGGCAGAAACTTCAGTCACCTAGTTACTATCTTTGAAATACTATTTATGGAATGCACTTTCAATTTCCAAACTGCCACACTGCTCTTTCAAACCCCTTTCCTCCCCTCCCTTTCCGTTGGCAACTCTAAAAAGACCATAGAAATATTTTATGAGTTGACAGGCAGGCCTGTTGCCAAGATTTGGACCACGGAGACCCTGTGACCGTCGTAAGTGTGAGGATGGATCCTAAGTCCCCTTTTTTCAGGGCTGTTGTAGTTTCAGATGGACCAAATGAAGGGTCGTAAGTCGAGGAATTGCCTGCATTGGAATTCCTCTCCATCAAACGCACTGCAAAGAAAATAAGAAGCAACTCGGTGTGAATATTTACAAAACGGACCCCCCCCCCTCAAAAAAACGCAAAACAATTTTTTAAAAAATCACCCTAATTTCTATTTTGCAAATCCCTTTTTCTTTCCTCAAAGGGGGTCTGCGTGGGCCAACACCATCGCTCAGTATGCGCAAGCCATCACCCTCTTTCTGTACATCAAGTGGAAGAAACTTCACGTCGAAACTTGGGGAGGTGAGAAAACTCCCACCTCTTTTATAACCATGAGGAAGACTGGGGTTGTCCTTCCTCCCTTGCACCCCTGCCAAGCTCCTGTCGCCGACTTCTCAATTAGAGGATGGGTTAGAGAGCCAGTTTGGTCTAGTGGTTAAGGCATCAGGTTAGAAAGCGGGAGAGGGTGAGTTCTAGTACTGCCTAAGCCGTGAAAGCTATCTGACTTTGGGCCTATCACCAGGAGACGGAGAGTTCTAGTCCCGCCTTAGGCATGAAAGCCAATTAGGTAACTTAGGCCTATCACCAGGAGACGGGGAGTTCTAGTCCCACCTTAGGCATGAAAGCCAATTAGGTAACTTAGGCCTATCACCAGGAGACGGGGAGTTCTAGTCCCGCCTTAGGCATGAAAGCCAATTGGGTAACTTAGGCCTATCACCAGGAGACGGGGAGTTCTAGTCCCGCCTTAGGCATGAAAGCCAATTAGGTAACTTAGGCCTATCACCAGGAGACGGGGAGTTCTAGTCCCGCCTTAGGCATGAAAGCCAATTAGGTAATTTAGGCCTATCACCAGGAGACAGGGAGTTCTAGTCCCACCTTAGGCATGAAAAGCAATTAAGTAAATTAAGGCCAACTAAAGAAGATGGTGAGTTCTAGTCCTTAGCCATTAAAGCCAGCTTTGGGCTTCTCACTAAGAGACAATGAGTTCTAGTTCCCCCTTAGGCATGAAAGCCGGCTGGGTGACTTTGGGCCAATCACCAGGAGACTGTGAGTTCTAGTCCCGCTTTAGGCATGAAAGCTGGCTGGGTGCCTTTGGGCCAATTACCAGGAAACTGTGAGTTCTAGTCCTGGCTGAGGTATGAAAGTCAATTGGTTGCATTTGGGCCAATCACCAGGAGACGGTGAGTTCTAGTTCCCCCTTAGGCATGAAAACCTGGTGGGCAACTTTGGTCTAGTCGCCAGGAGGCAGTAAGTTCTAATTCCACTTCAGGCATGAAAGCCAGCTAGGTGACTTTAGGCCAATCACCAGGAGATGGAGAGTTCTAGTCCTGCCTTGAAAAAAAACAGCATTTTGATCCTATCCTATGTAGACACTGTAGAAACTCCTGTTCCGGACTCAGAAATCAGCATCCTCTTGTTGTGTGACTTTTGCTTTCAAACCACGAATCCTGGCTTGTTCGGGTGATTTTTTCCTTTTTTTACTCCCCAGGTTGGTCCACGGACTGCCTGCAGGAGTGGGGTCTCTTCATGTCGCTGGCGATTCCCAGTATGCTGATGATTTGCATCGAATGGTGGACCTTTGAAATTGGAAGCTTTCTGATAGGTCAGGAGTGGGCAGGGGGAGGAGCTAATGGCTGGGGTGGGAGGGCCCCAAAAGTAGACCTGCCCTTTCTCCTAGAGGCGTTCCTCAACTTATGACCGCAACTTTGGGAGCCCAAAAGTTTGCGTTGTTAAGTGAAAATTTGTGAAGGGGACTTTCCACACACACCCCGTTTTACAAGCTTTCTCGCCACATTCGTTAAATGCATCACTGCAGTTCTTAAATGAGTCCCATGGTCGTTAAGTGAACCTGGCTTCCCTGTTGCATGTCAGTTCGGACACAAAACATAACCCCGGGACCCTGCAGCTGTCATAAATATGAGTCACTTTGCCGAGGGTCTGGATTTGGATCATGTGACGACGGCGATGCCGCAAGGGTCACAAGTGTGAAAAATAATCATCAGTCCCTTTTTTTTCAGTGTCGTCGTAACTTCGGTCTCTAAATGAACTGTTGTAAGTCGAGGATTCCTGTATTTACAAGGGTTGCAGCATCCCAGGGTCATGCCATTTCCACTTGCGCCCTTCCCAATATGCCATGAGAGAAGCCAGACTCACTTAATGACCACACAGTCGTAAAACCGAAGTGTGACTCATTTAGCAACTGTCCTGCTTAGCAGCAGTAATTCTGGTTCCAAAGGTGGTTGTACATTGAGGGTTACCATAATCCTTGCAGGAGCCCTCAGGGAAGAGATCTAAAAAGTTAAGATGGCAGCTCAGCCGCCATCTTGACTTTTTAGATCTCTTCCCTCAGGACATCCCTGGATATTTACTTTTTCCCTTTTCTTGTGATTTTTTTTTTTTAATTTCAGGCCTTCTCAGTGTGCTGGATCTGTCTGCACAATCTGTCATCTATGAAATCGCCACCGTAGCTTATATGGTAAGCATTTCCCGTCCGCCAGATCGCCACAAAATAGGACCAAGGTCTGCCATTTTGACTTTTTTGACCTTCCTTGGCAGACACCTCCAATTAGCAAACCAAAAGGTGGGTTTCCCTGCATTTTGTGTGCATCCCATGCTTCGCATTGTCTATAATAGATAGGTTAAACAGATAATCAGAGTTGTAAGGGACCTTGTAGGTCATCTAGTCCAACCCCCCCCCTCCGCCCAAGCAGGAGATCCTACACCATTTCTGACAGATGGGAGTCCCATCTCTTCTTGAAAGTCTCAAGAGATAAACCAGTTACAATTGGTCTTTGACTTATGACCGTTCATTTAGAGGCCCTGTGTAATTGCAAGGGTGTGGGAAAAAGGGACTTGTGCGGTCCAGACAGTATGTAGTTAATTGGGAATTGGGAGCTGTCCCTTTAAGGGAATGCCTCATGGGAAATGTAGTTAATGCATCATGGGAAATGTAGTTCATGTCATGTGGTCACAACTGAAATCCTAATTGGTCACTGAATTGACCCTTGGTTGGGTTGGGGGAGTTTCCATTATTCTTGCTTGGCCCCCAACAACATCGGGCTGCTTTGTTCTATCGTTATGGCAAAGATTTGGACATTAGATGAATCTCGACATAATTGTGAGTTATACCTTGAGGATGCCTTGTGAGCCAATACAGAAACTTAGTATGGAAGCCTTTGTAGAGTTTGCCTGACTGTCTTTGTATTCAGCCAGCAATTTAAAGACACAACAGTGAAAATGCAGAACTTATGACCAATCTTCACACTTACGACCATTGCAGCATTCCCCACGGTCACAAGATCAAAAGTCAGATTCTTGGAAACTGATTCATACTTACAACGGCTGCAGTGTCCTGTGGGTCCCAGACAGCTTCCAACAGGGGGAAAAAGGGATTCACTTAAGGACCATGTGATTCACTTAAGGACCACCCAAATAGGTCATAAAATTAGGTGCAACTCACTTAAGGTCCATATCACTTAGGTTCCCATTGCAATTGTGGTCACAACTCAAGGACTACCTGTAGCCCCCTTTTAACAACTGCCTCATTTACTGACTATTCATATCTACAACCATGAGGAAAAAATATAACTTTGCAAGCCATCTTCACTTTTACGTTGTTCACTGGTCTATAAACCAAAAAAAAAGTGGAAGTCGAATCATAAACGCAGTTTCACTTAGCAATGTTTTGCTGAATGGCCAATTATGGTCACTAAACGATCTGTACCATTCATATAGGTAGTCCTCGCTTTATGACAACAATGGAGCCCAAAATATACATTGCGAAGTAACATAGTTGTTCAGTGAGTTTCACCCCTTTTTACGACATTTGCCACAACTGTTAAGCGAATCACTGTAGATGTTGTTAATAAAACGGTCGTTAAGTGAATCCGACATTTCCCTGATGGACTTTGCTTGTCAGAAGGTCGCAAAAGGGAATCATGTGATCCTGCAAGCGTCATAAATACGAGTCAGTTGCCAAGCCATCTGAGTTTTGATCACATGACCACGGGGGATGTTGCAATGGTCATAAGTGTGAAAAAACAGTTGTCAGTCACTTTTTTCAGTGCCGTTTGATGTCAAACGGTCACTAAACAAATGGTCGCAAATCAAGGACCACCTGTAGGGTTTGTTTTTTTTTTAATTTTAGAAAATTTATATTGCCGCCTACTTGCACAAGGCGACTCAAGATGGCTTACACAAATATAAAAACATCATATAAAAATAATAATTAAAATAATTATAAAAAAATAACAAACTAATAAAACAATTAATCCAATCACCCTCTAAAATAGATGCAAATGACCATAAATCCTTCCATTTCCTCACCACAATTCAGAGCTGAAGAAGCTCCTTGGATGAGAAGCGAAACATCTTCAAAAGAAAAACCAAGAAAGTCCAGTTGCCTCCTTACAGATTAACAGAGTTGGAAGGGACTTTGTAGGTCATCTAGTCCAACCCGCTGCCCAAGCAGGAGACCCTACACCATTTCTGACAGAGGGCAGTCCAGTCTCTTCTTGAAAGCTTCCAAGGATGAAGCTCCCACAACTTCCAAAGGCAACTTCTGTTCCATTAGTTGCTTGTTCTCCCTGTCAGAAAATTCCTCCTTATTTCCAGGTTGAATCTCTCTCCTTGTTCAGTTTCCATCCATTGTTCCTTCTCTGGCCTTCAGGGGCTTTGGAGAATAGCTTGACCCCTTCCTCCTCTCTGTGGCAGCCCTTCAAATATTGGAAGATGCTATCCTGTTTCCCCTGGTCCTTCTCTTCCCTAGACTAGCCAGGCCCAGTTCCTGCAAAGGTTCATTGTATGTTTTAGTCCTGAAAAGCACCTTTGAGACACAAGGCATTTAATGTACTCCATCCCACTCTGGCTATATTAGAAAATCAATCAATAAATCCAGGCTGATGGAAGACTTTAGCAAGGCAGGAACTGAATGGGCATCTCACCAGGTCTGTCTCTTTGTCCATTTCAGATTCCCTTTGGGATCGGGGCCTCCACCAGTGTCCGAGTCGGCAACGCCTTAGGAGCCAGGAAAGTGGAAGATGCCCGGAAGTCTTCCCTGGTCGCCATGATTTGCACAGGTATCATTCCGGGGCCGGTAGAAAGAAGAGAATTGATGGGAAGCATAAACCAGCATTTCAGAATCAGAATAGAGCTGGAAGG